TCTTCAATAAGGAAAACTTCCTCATACTGTTATTTTTCTTGTGAGGTTTCAGTGACAGATCAAAAAGCTGCCCATCTTGTTTAGCTGCCAGGGGGGAATGCTAAATATGTTAAAGCTAAAATGCACTATGCTATTAGGACATTTTTGACATTATTGTGCACTTGGTAATGGAGCTCCAGACTAAAAAGACCAGTGTCTAGGAGTCCAGCTATGACGTTTGCACAAACAAACCTGCAACTAACTTAACATCATCATCACGAGAAAACCAAAGGCCCCGTCTACAGCCAGTGTTTGGTTTGTCTGTTCTGGGGGACCCCGCTCCCTCTGTAGATAAAAATGACTCATTCTTAGATTAGATTAGATTAGATTATACTTTATTCATCCCACAATGGGGAAATTCACTCGTCACAGCAGCACATAGAAGGTAGATGGATAACGAAAACACGATTTCTTATTTTCAGGGGATTATAGACTAATAAAAACATACTATAGGAGGCATTATTTAGGGCTGTGTCTGTTTATATTAGTGGCCTGTGTCCGGTTTCGAGTGGCAGTGTAGATCATCATGGTAGGGGAAATCTATACAGGCACAGGTACAAAAGGTCATCTAATCATGCGTGGGTGACAGAGAGGTCTCAAGGTTTTTACCGCTCGCACGACTGTATGCTCAGCCACACCAGTCATCATATCACCGCGGTGTGTTGGTGATATAAAAATAAAAAAAATGTCTGTAAGCTAAAATCCTAATTAAATTGGAACCTCACCCAATGATAAATACTGTTTGGACATCTATTCATGGTAGCGCATCAAAAACAAGGACTGCTCCCACCCAGCTGGGGGATTAAGTGCTGTTCAGGATAGTCATGCCTATATGTGTATTGTACTTTGCTAATAGAGCCTCCTAAATGTTACACACTGGACCTTTAACATACAGTAAAGGTGCAACATACACGTCACACATTTATATATTAATTTCCTAATTCATTTACATTACATTTACAATGTTACATTTGTGGATAGGCCTACCTTATTTTGTAGTTTACATACACACTATTTTAAAATATGTTTCATAGGACTATGCAGTTATTGTTTCTATTGTGTCATCCTTTCATCTTTTAAAGAAAGCGGTGACATAAGAAGAAGGAAAGAAGGAAGGGGAAAAAAATTAAGCTGTCAGAACCAGTCATTATTATTCACCCAGGGTAAAAAACAACAACAAACAAAACCACATAAAATCAGTACAATATTTATCATTTTTATACAAATCGTACTTCTTTACAGCATTTTGCAGAGTGTCATGTCATTTATAAAATACAAATCATGTTGCATTCACCAACAGTAGCTGCAGAAAGGGAGCGAATATCTACATGTATTATGTATATTATTATATATTTTAACAGCCAATGACCTTGACAAACATTATTCAGAATCAGCTTTATTGGCCAAGTATGTGGACAAATACAAGGAATTTACTGGCAAAACAGATGTGAATATAAATATATATAAAAGTCAAATTATTTGTGTAAATAAAACTACACAAAAAACAGCTTTATTATCCACCAAGGTAAATAATAACAATTCACAACATAAAATCAGCACAATATCTACCGTAACTCACATTAAGGCTTTATAAACAGATAAACAAGTTGGAAAATAGGAATTTATGTTCTTTTGTTAGTCTTAAGAATATTTTCACCCTGCAGCCTATAGAGGATGATGGAGTCCCATTGATTTCTTTAAGAGCTGATTAGTTTAGAATCTCTAAATTAATGTACAGCACAGTATTTGTTTATTCATCCATCGCATCATCATCTACCCACTGAGCATCCTCCAATATAGCCCAAACCCATTGAACGCCGCGAATGAGGTTTATCAGTGACTGCGTGGACCTCCTCTTCTGAATCCTCCTCCATCTGAAAGACACAGCCAGCCAATGCACACTTTTAAAATCAAGATACTGCTACAATTCTTTATACAAAGATTTTCTCTTTTTTCGTCTGTTACGAGAACAGGCATAAAGCCAGCACTGCTCTAAGAGAAGGAGAGAAAAATTTGTTGTGACTTACCTTTGGACTAACAACGCGTTTCACTTCCACATCGCCTCCAATGTCGTGTGGACCAGCCCATTCTGCTCTGTCTGCTTCATCCTCTGTAGAAAACCTCACATAGGCCATTGCCTTATTTCCCCCCTTGTTGGGGCTTTTCATAATCTGGAATCCAATTTAACAGATTTTAATTAGGTGACAAAATGTCCTGGATCTTTATAATTTATACAAAAATATATAAGCACAGGCACTAATCAAACAGTATTTCCAGTCTTTACCTTGCACGCTGTGACGGTTCCCCAATCTCTAAAGTTAGCTCGTACATATCCTTCATTTATACAGGGATTCAGCTCTCTTATAATCAATCCATGTTCCTGTTAAATGATAGAAAATCATGAGCTTCATGGCATATTGTAGCCTAAGTCAAAAAGATAAAACTAAGTGATGCTTCCTGTAAATATAAGAATGAGAGAAATGATTTACCAGCTCATAATGTTCAGCAAAAGCAGCTATGTGTTTCTTTGGAAGACTGATGTACACTTTCCTTTTAGATTTTGTCTTCACTTCCATGTTATCTGGAGGGAAGAGGAGTTTGGAGTGAAAAGACAAAACTATGATATGTACAATTAGGAACATAATTCACAATCTAATATTCTCAGCAGATAAAGTATGAAATGAAAAAAGCTGTCACTTACCAGAGGTCGTTACAGAAATGTTTTTTCAAGCCCTTGTTCCAAGTAGAGCAACTCAAAGTAGAGAGTAACCTGCTCTGAAGTGACATCAAAGTAGAGAGTAACCTGCTCTGAAGTGGGTTTATATATTGTCTCTCAATGTCGCAAAGAGGAAATCTCCTCCTACTGTTATTTTTCTAGTAAAGTTAACTGGAACAAATTTAAGTGACTGATAAAAAAAGTTGCCCATCTTGTTCAGCAGCCATGCTGGCTTTAACAAAAAATGTTACAACCAGCATGCAGTTTGCGATCAGGGAATTGTTGACATTATTGAACACTTGGTAACAGAGCTGCATACATAATAAGCTCAGTATATTTGTTTTGTATCCCTTTTGTGTAGCTTTTATTTGGACTGTATGTCTCAAATAAAACTGAGTTTAAAATACTGCACCTTTTCCAGTTTGACTTTTAGATATCTTTTTAAGATAACATCAGCTGAACACTTATTTGTCACTAAAGTATTTCATAAACAGATTTTTCAAACTTAAGTTAAATGTTACATAAAGTCATGTTGAATGTGTTCTTAGAAGTCTGACCTGCTGTGATGCTCTTTGGAGTGACAATAAAAGCTAATGTTCAGCTTCTGATACCCACCATCGCTGTGTATTTGTGCTAGTAATCAAATACATTTTTAGACAGCAATTTGTATGAAAAGAGTGCTCGGTAAACTTTGGATAGAGCTGCAAGAAGCAGGTTGCATAGCTGTAGGCTATGTCTACTATGTGTGTGTTATTTCACATTCTGCTGGATGAACTTAACGTACAGTAAATGTGCCACATTTATATGCTTTGACAGCCCATTTTTGACAAGAAATACCGCAAAAAAGTGCAAAATCTTAATAAAATACTGTACCAAAAGTAATTAGGAATTTTACATGTTCAGAGGAATGACATGGAGGAATATTTGCAATGTTTGGGCTATTCAGATAACAATGAAAACAATGTTTCCAGATAAGGCGACACTTGCATAACTTGCCAAAAACACATGAATTATTTATTATTTAAAAACTTAAACATAACACATATAAAGAATATACACATCCTGACATACATATGTATTAAAAAATATGAATAATTCAATTATAGTGCTAAAAGCCGGACCTAGTTTGTGTTCATCCAGTACATTAACGACTCACCAAACATTATGCAATGTCATGTATTTGAAAATAACAATTTGAAAATAGTTTTGCTTTTGTTCTCAGCTTGTAAGTGATCACTGATGAGATAATATTAAAGCGAAGATGCTTGTCACTGATGAGATAATATTAAAGCGAAGATGCTTGTCACTGATGAGACAATAGCTTGCCATCGTTATTCTGTGAATGTTGTTCAGCCATTACACTGGAGGGAAGGAAGAGGAAAAGGTTTTATATGGAAGACGTTGTGGGCGGGCATTGAATTGGTGAGAAAACAAAAGGAGATATGTAACAACCAGAAAGAGGATACAGTATTGAGACTACGCACCTTATCTATGAGGGGAAATCAGACAGATTTCTTCATAAATGGCTTGCAATTTGGTGATGAGGAACTTTTTGTCTTTACCCTCCTGTATACAAGGATACAAGGTTATTTAAGTGTCATTTTACAATGCAGGGTGTATTGTATAATGAAATTCAGGTCACAATTTTCTTTATCCTATTTGTAAAAACAAATATATATACAGTAAAATTGATTGAGTCATAAAAAGATACAAGCTCAATAAGATTAATATCAACATACTATATATGTGTCATTGATTATGGCTCTATGGATGGCAATGATGCTCTGTTGGTTGGTCAGTCTGCCATTTATGGAGATCGATAGATCATGGAGATAGATCTCCATGAAATTTGGTACAGACATTCATGATTCAGTCATGATACCAAGATGATTCATCCTACTGACTTTGGTTGTCTGCTAGGATTCATTTAGTTAAGATATCCGTGTCCTTCTCAGGTTAATTTGTAATCTCTTAATTTTCCTTTGTCCAATATGGTTTATGGCCAAATACTTGCAAACACATTCTTTTAGCTGTAAATTGTGTTAATGCTAATGAACAACTATAAGCATCTAATCTAAGATGGTGAACAACACTATGCCTCAATACCGCCTCACAGAACCACTAGCATGACTGTATACACTCTTAGTCTTGTTTATAATAATGTTTAATTGTGCATACATTTTCAATTTGCTTTTCTAACCGACTGATGATTCTCCTTTGGCCATCAACAACTTGAGTGCGAAAATATATCACCATTCTGAAAAAACAGAAAGAGGAACAAAATCTCTTTAAAATTCAAAGAGCACAAACGGTATTCACGTACACCAGGCCACCACAATGACAAAAGATTGTTGAAACTGGACAGTTGTGTTTGTTTGTGATCATGTCACCACTCACAGAAACACTCCGCTGGTGAGGAATAAGAACAACGGGTTCTCCAACAGAGAATTGTAGGCCCAGCTGAGCCAGGACAGGATCGGGTGGGCCTCCTCCAGCTGCTGAGCCCACAGCTGTCCTGACTGAAACATTGTGGTCTGATTCCTGAAAGGGCCGCACCCCGACGAGGGTTTAATCCTGTGGACGACAAACAGTGCAAACTGTGGGTTTGAAGATAAAAGGTTATCTAAGGGTTAACAAATCCAATAAAAAGGAACCAAAAATGTGTTCTCTCAATACGTTCGGATTTTCCTACCCATATTTTTGTACAGCAAACAAGAGTACCCACTGGTGAGCTTATGTTAGTACAAAGCCCAGAAACAGGGAGAAGCAGCAAGCAGGGATCTGTACAAAAAACGAAGAACAAAAATGGAAATCTGCCATTTGACGGCAGTTATGTGCAAGACTATTAACTCAGCAACTGGCCAAGAAATAGTCTTGACGATAAACCCTGTAGATGTTTGAACTGTCGTTTTTACAAGTACTGGTAAGCGGATTCTGTCACCTTGTTTTGTACAAGGTACAGGCCAGGCTAGCTGTTTCCCCCTGTTTCCAGTCTTTGTGCTAAGCTAACCTAACCAGCTGTTCATGGTAGCTTTATATCTGCCATACAAACACAAGAGTGCAAACAGTCTTCTCATTTAACTCCTACAAACAAAGTGAATGAGCATATTTCACAAAAGTAAACTATTAATTTAAAGAGTGGTCAGAAATTCATACTGTTTCATTTTTTGAATTTCTTTCTTCTGCATTTGTTGGGGACTACTACTACCACTTGAGCTGTATTTACAGCACCAGAAAGTACATGATTGACTCAAAATAACCAACAGTGCCCATTTTCATTGTAATGAAGGAACATGTCACCCACTGTGATGCTAAGTGATGGGTTTTTTGACAACAATAGAGGCAATCATACTTTGGCTACACAGGAAATACTTGGTTTTGGTCTTTTCGTGGGATTTGTGACAATAAGAAAAGCACAGAATATAGTCTCATACTTTAAGGGTAATTATCTGGTGAAACAGTCGTCTTGAACAGTGCGGGAGGGCAATGCCAAGGCAACAACCCCAATTCCCATGAAATTTGGATATTGAAATGTGACTCTAACCTCATATTCATTCATTCATTACCTAAAATCTAACACGCTAGTACAATATGCTGTGTATTCTTGGAACACAATGACATTTGTCAAAATAATTTGTTCAAATCCCATTTTTAGCAAACTATGTGTGTCTGAATTTGTGGAATTTACTCATGCCTTTCGGTGTGAAAACCGCTTGCAGGCATTACAGTAACTTAAGGACATTTAAGGACGTTTGTTGCACGCACCTCCAAATTGCATAGGTGATAGACACGGCAGCACCAAGAAATGAGGGGAAGCACAAAAGGCAGATGAATAGTGTGGTCATCTGACTGGCCCTCCAGGGTTTTCTTGATGCCTGACAGTTGAGCAGCAGACTGTTCTGAGAGAGAAACCAGAGGAAGAATTTTTAAGTTTCGGTAATCTAAGAAGACGCATGTGACGTTGAAACAACCCTTGATGTACCAACCTTCTTCATGTAAAACAGCACAAACAGTTTTATGATCTGGACTGCGGGAAGCAGTGGCGCAAACAGCACCCCGAGCCTGGAAAGAAGACCATTAATGTTTAATTAATAATGTTTTTTTAAGTTAAAGATATGATGTGTTTCAATGATGGTGGTGTAATGCCGTGCAATTACCAAATAAGAGTTTGTCCGTATATGAGCTCCAGCACGTTACGAGCAATGTCAAACACCGGCTTCCTGTTCCTTTTCAGCACTTTCTTGGAAAAGAGTCTACAGGGAAGATGCTTAGCAATCAGTAAATGGTGAAACAGTAAGAACAGAATCAAAGTTATCCATTATTCGTGAATAAAAGGGGCAACTTGCCTCCACAAGTACTCTCCCAAAAAAGTATAAAGCACTGTAAAGATAAAGTCCATCAGGAGTAGGCGATACAGTTCTTGCCCCACAAAGCTCTCCCAACACTGTGGATAACAGAGACATAAATATAAAGAATCTACTGGAAGTGGATTTAAGGTTGTTTCACATCTCCAATAAGGTTAACATTGGGGCTAATTTGCATTTTGTGTTCAAACACGCAATATTTTAGTAATGAATAGCATTCACACAGTAAAACAACTATAATTATGAGAAGTTCAGATGTTTGTAACCTGTATACTACGACTTTCTGGTTCCACAGCAATTCTTCCTAGCCACCGGAAACACAGCACTCCAACAACACTGACCTTCAACAACAGGTTCCTGAGGGAAATATGGATGAGATATTCTATTTGAAAAAAATATATTTCTCTTTTCACACTACAATAAAACCTTACAGAATAAAACTGATGATGGATAATGGTCGTGTTTGTTAGGGGACAGATCTTAAATGCCAAATATATAAAAATGTGAATTTTGAGTTTTTATGGTGGGTATAAATAAAGCATCCACATTAATGATGAGGCAGTGAACGCTCCACATTTAAACAGATAATAGAGATAACATTTCACACTTCTATGCTCAGGAAATAATGGTAGTTTGGTTGATGGGATTTCCAACTTTTTTTATATATATGTGTTGCTTATTTCTTATTTTGTTTGTTGTATTGTATTATTGTACTGTTTATTTGTCTATTGCCTATTCTCTACAGCATGTATAAAGAAGAAATAAAAGGTGAAAATCGCCTGTGCAAATGAAACAATTGAAGAGAACATGATGTGGTTTCACAGTTCTTCTTCTCACCTGAAGATGGAGACATAGACTCGAACACTGGGTGAGTCATGACTCTCCATCCAAGCACACAGGTTGAAGAGGCCGGGGAGCAGCAGATTAATGCCCGACACCACGGCAGACAAGAGCAGCAGCTCACTTTCTTTAAAAGGACCCTGAATGGCATTCTGTGAAGGGATGGACGAATCACAGTGAGGGTTGCAAACTAGGGTTTTCAAAAGTATTGATACTTTATACTGCTGGAATGCAACATCATAAGTGCTTTTGGTTCCCTTTGCATTTCTTGCTATGAGGAGTCAAATGTCTGCTGTGATTTAATGTGCATATTTAATTTAGCGAGTTTGCAAATCACGAGAAACATTAAAAGAATACTGCATGTCAATTTTTTTTATGTTATATCATGAAATACTACCAGTAGATAATATTTTCCTGTCATGGTGGCAGGATTTCTTCAAAGGGAACTGCTGCGTTCAACAATCTTCTTCCAATAGCTTGATAAGAATTGCAATGCAGTTTGACAAAACACCAGCAGAGTAAAACTTACCAGGAAAGAAAAAGCAGAAGTAAATAAACTGCGGTGAGAAGGTGTTATTTCCATGGTAGTCTTGAGAAAATGCTACTCGGGGGCCCTACGTCTGCTCAAATGTGCAAAAAGAATATCTGTCATGTCTGGCTGCACAGCAGTTGTTGCGCCGTTTCCTCTAACCTCTGACAGGAGGTAGACTGCCATGGCACTCAGGGAGATGCTCGCCAGACATGTAGCCCACGCAATCAGATGCACTATGAGGCGGCCGAGTCTCTGCATGCAGCTCTTTTCATCTTCCCCACTGATCATCTCAGATAGCAGCTCCTGTTGGAAAGGCAGCGGTTTGTAGTATGAGACGACTACATTTAAATGATCTTCACAGTGTGAACCTGTGATCAGCATGTGTGTGTAGGCTATGTCCTAAGTCTGTCAACTGAGACAGCCGCCGTCGGTGTACGATAACAGATACTTAAAAATCCTTCCTTTATAAGAAAATTGATTTCATTAGCATATGTGTGCATGATGGGGAGCCTACTTTAACCATCAGTCCCAGCAGACCCAAGTCTACCTCTCTGTTAATCAACACATCAATAGCTCTGATCCATGTAGTTATTATGGCAATCCAATCGACACATTAGCATCTCAGTTTGGCTGTGTTTCATTCTACTTGATGCTGTTAGAGGCTGTAAATAGTTGACTGAATGGTTGCATCTTATTTATGATGCTTTTAATAAATTCTCTCTAAAGTCAGAGACCTGAGTAAAATTTTCTTTAACTGTTATTTTACATTGGCTGTTTTGAGCGTATAGTTGCTGCCAGTTTTACCAAAGGCCTTTACAGTGATGTTGTTCCCTTTTCTGCTTTAAAGACAAAATAATGCTGACATTGTTCAAGTTAAAGGCCATGATAATGAATTGGCAACTGTAAGATTAGCTGTGGTTTTATTCATGAAGCGTAGTAACGTGTGCATGGTGGTATATTGTTCCTTATTTTAAAAATGATAACCCAGCTAATAATAATTTACAAAATGCAACTGTAATCTGAATACGTATTCTGTAATGGATTACAGTTACCGTGTTTTTTATTCTGTTTACATTACTCTGTTACATGTAATCTGTTACTCCCCCAAATGTGTTCATAGTTCTAAGCTAATGAGAGACTCAGTTTTTGGGCTTGGACTGAAAGGTTTTTCCTGTGTGAAAACCAAACCATAGCGTGACAAAGTGACTGACTGAAATAAAAATATTCACATGACTGAGTTACTTTGAGCTGAGTGCTGATTTTCTCAGACTGAAGTCTGACGGACATCTTCTTGCTGACTTTAAAGTCCCAGGAGCAAAAAACCTTTGCCGCCAGATCGTCATTGGACTTGAGGACACGATAGCTTCTCCCAAAGGACGTGGAAATGCTGCAGGAGAACGATAAAGCCATCAAATACACACTGCAGATGGGCCAAAAGAAAATGAAAGCAAAAGTAATTCACTTATTGTCTAACCTGTACACCAGGATGATACAGACAATGACGAAGGAGATGACGATGGTGAAGAAATAGGCTGCAGGTATGCTGTACGGCACTGTCTTGGACTTGACTGTATCACAGTCCGGCAGATCTAATTCAACAGAGGAGCTGTGTCTCGAGTTAGCAGTTTTGCAAGTTTTGATGGTGATGTTGTTGTAGTAGCCGTAAAACATCACACTCTGAGAGAGATAACCCTGCCAGAATGTAAAGACATGGCATGACACTGTTAAAACACAAAACAAATGTGTGAAAATTCTAAATTGGTCAAGTGAAAAATGAATAGTGGTACTCTATTTAAACAGTTAAGGGCATTATCTAATTTTGACTTTGTTAGAGTTCCTTTTACAAAGGAAATGAAGTATGCGTTGTTTTGCACAGTGTGTATCCTACCTCAGAAATAAAAAAGATTATATCATTTCTATCAATTATATAATAAAATATAAGAGAAAATGTATTATAAAAGAACCTTTTTCAGTCTTCAATCTCATTTTGTTAAACAAAGATTGTGAGAAAATCTTATTGTGAACTCAGTATCATGAATTGTATCAAATTAAGTGTATTTTTACATCCCTAGTTGGCAAGGGAGAAATAATCATGTATGCTCTGCTCCTGATGTAACATACAGCCATCTTACCGTGCCTGTGAGAAGCTCTAGGCCAGTGAAATTGCTCAGATGAGAGTCATAAAGAGGAGGGGGATTGACGGCTTGAGGGAAGACCAGGAACAGGCCGTTGATGACAAAGAGGAGGAGGTTAAAGAGCAGGAGGGTCCGGAGAAACAGGAAGTACGAGAGCACCCCAGTTCCGAAACGTCCACTCAGTCTCTTCATGGGAGAATGCCACAGATGGAGGGAACTGAGGACAGGGAGGCAGCTGAACAGGCAGTGACGCCAAGTCTGAGGGCAGGAAAACAGTGTATGACTGATACACACAAGCTAAAAAAATGGCTTATACCTTTTCATTTGTACTCACCCTTGAGATGTACATGCTTAGGTGACTGTAGCATGGGATATTTCTGCTGAAGAGTGAACTTTCTGCTACGCCGCTGAAAGCAAGTCGCCTAATAAAAGAAAAGGAGTTTACAGTGGTAGCAGCTGCATTTTGCCAATCATGGAAGGTTTTTCAGTGCCTCATTTACCTGATTTCCATCTTATCTGCCAGGCTAAGCGGCATGGCTCGCAGCTTGCGCATGCCATCGCTCGCTGAGAGGTCTCGGAGGTCGGACACCAACTGCTCCTTCTTGTTTTCTGTAAACCAAAAGTTAGGAAACACCAAATTATCTGCTGCACCCGATCTGCTGACAGCTGCAGTTGTCTAATGTTCGGAGCAATTAGTGCTTTGGCATTTTTTAGTCTACCTTCAGTACTGATTTCCTCCATATCTGCATGGACAATGTCCTCCTGGATTGTTCTGGAGGGGTGAGGAGAGACATGGGAGGAGGTCTGGGGTTGGTGTACCTGAGACTGACCTGGGCGTCTGGTACGGTGGGAAATTAATGCAGTATTTGGCCCTGTGTGGACAAGAAATATAAATGTAATAGTTCTTAAATGAACACTCTCAACAGTTAGACAGTAGAGAAAGATTTGTCCTCACCTGCAGTGCGACTGGGCATCGAGGAGAGGACCTTTAGGGTAGCAGCAGACCAGCGGTGCCTCTGCAGAGAGGACACCTGCTCCCTGTCAAGTGTCTCGCCTCTCATGTGGCCATCAATTGCACTGTCTAATCAGCAGTAAATGTTATTTTTTTTAATCATTTAAAACATTTATAGATGTTACAATTGAAATTGTAGTGGCAGTAAACGTCAGACATTGTGTATTTGTACCTGTGCATTCCCTAGAAACATCCCTTCGTGGAGATTTAGAGGTGCGGGCTGCTGGCTGTTCAACGAGCTGAAAGGAGTTCTGACCTGGATCGCATTCTTCGATGTCACTGGAGAAAAGTAGCCATCAGAAGAAATGACTCAGAGTCCCAAAGGCTTTGTGCCCTCAGTGGAGCAGCATGTATATAAGACAAGTTGTTAAATAATTGATAACGTTATCATTTTTCCATGGAGATTTATTATTTTACAGAACTCACATACTTTAAAGCTTGACTGTTTTCCAGTTTCAAATACAAAAGAGCCTCAAAAGTTAGAAGATTTAGCTGTGAAAGCACTGAAAAAGATCTCTCCAAACACTCCGTCGTTGTGTGTGAATTATATGTAGCATAGAAAATGAAACTACAATTTAGTAACACATTCTGATAAATTTTAATTTATACATTATATGTAGTGCAAAATTAAAACAAAGTGCATTAGCCCACCCGAGCAGGAGGATGCAGAGCAAATATCACGTACACCTAAACAAAAACAAGTAAAGGAACTCTAAAATGAAATCTTATAAACTTACTCATAGTCAGAATCCATTTGACAAATGTTGACACCGAAGCTCACACTGTGGGCCATGGTCCGTGAGGTTTCTCTGTTTGCTGCAAACAATGCATCATATAGTGGGACACAGAGCAATGGTTTAACGCTTACACTGTAGCAGTCTATTCTTGACAGTCAAAACACATCATAGACACTTCCTCTATCTCTCTCAGTCTCTCTGCGCACAGCTGTGCCTTATTTGTAATTGGTACAAAGTTAGCTGTCTGCATCTGATGAAGTGCAATCACTTAAGGATCTCTGATATGCCTGATATGGGGGGGGGGGGGCCAAGGGGTCCAAACGGACATGGTAAATAAATAAATTATGTTATAATAATAATAATAATAATAATAATACACTTTCATCAAAAATTATAGAATACTTCTTGGCTTTGTGTTCGTCTTAAAGCTAGTTGGAGTAGACCTGGGCCTTCAGAATAATGAGTGCTCATTGCCCTCTATTGGCCATAATGAGGAACTTCAACACAACCTTCAACTCGTCAACCCAGTGTTTATGTCGTAGTAGTGAAGCAAAAACACTGGAACAAATAGAAGACACTAAACATAACATTTACAAAATAAAAATAAAAAAACAGATTACATCAGTTAAAGCAAGTCCAAAGTAAAACAATGAATAATACTATTATTATTGTATTTCATATACTACTTCAGACTTCAGCTTTTAGACCTGATAACACATTAATGTCCAGTGAATACTGTCATAAAATAAAGTTACCAAAAGATGCCAACAGAAACGAACAACAAAATTATTGTGAAATATTCAGTGTTTTTGTTGTTATAGTAAGAGACTACCGCTCCACGTGCTTTAACTGTATGTGTGTTTATTCTGATTATTGTAGAGATATTATTGAGGGTATTCTATGAAAATTAAATAAACATATCTGTATTAGGAATATACTATTTTGATATGGTCTTGTGTACATAATGGGTTTATTATTAGTCGGTTGTGCTCAACTCAAATCAACTCAACTCAACTTAATATAACAAATGTTCATACTGCACTCTCATTGATTTTCATTGTGCGTACTAGCCTTGTGTTTATACTGGTCATATGATAATAAACCTCTTGAATCTTGAACTTGATTTTGCTGTAGCCTACAAGCCTACAATCAAACAATATGAACCTTTGCAAACAAACAGCCCTGCAATAAACACTATGTACTGGGAATGTTTCATTTCCCAAAAGTAAATTAAAGTCACTCTTGCCTCACAAGGTTACAAACACAAAAAGCCATTTAAAAGGTTTCTTTTTAGATGCATTCACTTAATATTCCCGATTAAAAAACGCACCACGAATATCACCACGGCACTGTGGTTCTTACGAGGAGCGCTTGAACGCACCGCAGCAGGGGCGGTCTTTGAGAAGTTGTCAGGAAGCTGTCGGACAAAACGAAACTTTCCCAACTTTGACAGGAGACTTTAGCAGCCTTCATTTGTTCGACAGGCGTTTTGTTTAGTTTTTTGGGTGGAAAAGATGCAGGGCAGTGCTTACGGTGCCTCGTTGGCTGGCGGTGCTTTTGATATCGAGAGTTTTATAAAGCAGCCTCAGACCATTTTGCGCTGCCTGAGCTGGGTGAGTGACTACACGGAAACGTTAGCATCAAAGTTAGCCAGCTGTCACATCACCGACTTTCACCTTAAGTTAACAGATGTGAGCTGCCAGCGTCGACACCAATTGGCACATTGTACAACTTGTTAGCTTTCCGAGCTGCCGACGGTGGACATGAACCGGGGGTTTGGTTGAAAACTCAAAAAAAACCTGTTAACGTGAAGTGAAAATGAAGATGTTATTCGCTCCGGCACTTGTTGATCTGAGCTAACTTAGGCTAACATGAGCCAGGTGCTGTGTCACCGCACTAACTGCGCTCTCCCACCTGGTGTTGGGATTGTTTGGACATTATTGTTGCTTACCCTGGTTTTTAAAAGTGAACCTGGAAGAGTTAAAGCTTGTAAAAGGTTTGGTGGTTTGACAGAAAAAAAGACCAGGAATTGAAACTTTTCCCAGCGTCATCTGTTGTGCTGTAATAATAGTGCACTTTTATTGATGTTACACTCTTCAAAAAGTACATTTACAAGGTGCTTTACAATAAGACAGGTTTAAAATAAAATAAAAAGTAAAACAAAAATATTGAACTGAAGTTAAAACAAATGGAAAATATTGGTAAATCACTAAAAGTTTTTAAAAAGAAAGTTTGTAAAGAAGATGGAGTTAACTCAGACAGCAAAGGCTTCCTCCTTTCTTGATTACTATTATTGTTTTAAACAAGTATCTAAGGATCTTTGTTATGGAGGAGGAAGTAAGACATTAAAAAATGTAATCTGTAAGATTGATTCATTGTTTGGAAACAAAAAAGTAGTTCTGAGAGCTCAAGGTGACGTCCTCAGGTGTTTTGGTTTTTGTCCAGTTAAACAGTTTAAAATCACTTCAAATGCGGAGAAGCAAGCAAACCCTCACATTTGAGAATATAATATTTAATCATATTTTCTACACTGAAGATGAATCGTCTATCTAAACTGTTGCTGATTTGGTTTTCTGGACAGTTTTTAAAGTGTTCAAACAGATGAGGAATCGAAACTTCTCCAGCGTCATCTGCTCAGCTCCACTCGTCTCAACTGGCTGTTTTTAATGTCTTTTTAATTTTATGGTGAAAGCTTTCTTGTAATGTCAATCATGTGATACGAATCACATGGCCCCAACATGCAGTTGTTTTTTTCCCGCCCACCTCCCTGTGGCATTAACCCTTTGTGTCCCTTCTTTGCAGTTATTCTCCATTGTGGTCTTTGCAACCATCACAGCAGAAGGGTACATCAACCCGATGACCAAGGATGAGACCAAGTGCATGTTCAACTACAACGACAGCGCCTGCAGCTACGGGGTCGGAATCGGAGTCCTGGCCTTCTTGGCTTGTGTCATCTTCTTCATACTGGACGCCTACTTCCCGCAGATCAGCAACGCCAAAGAGAGAAAATTAATCGTTCTAGGAGATTTGGTCTTCTCAGGTGAGTTTCACTGCGGACTGCTTACACTCGAATAAAGGAACTGTGCCCCAAAAACAGGAAGTGCACCCGAGTTGCAGTTAATGCTGTCATTGTGTTTAGTTTTTAATCCTGATTCATGTCTCTGCTTTGATATTTTTATCACGGGGCAGCGGCGTGGACGTTCCTGTGGTTCATCTGCTTCTGTGTCCTGGCCAACCAGTGGTCCAAAACCAGCAGCGACACCGCCGTCGCTGGCGATGCCGCCCGGGCTGTCATCGCCTTCTCCTTCTTCTCCATCGCCACCTGGGTGAGCTTCTCGTCTCCCACGTTGCCACGTGCGACCAACATTTGCCTAACAAAACGACACGATAACCCACAAGTGAGCTGGTGGAAAGTCCACTTACTAATTTAGACTTCTCTCAACAGGCCTTCCTGTCCTACTTTGCGTACAGAAGGTACTGCCAAGGCGTCAGTGAGTTCGACCAGGAGTACAGAGACCCAGCCAACGACCACACCACTCCATACCCGCCTGCTCAGTACCCCACAGGCTACCAGCAGTCGCCTTTCCCCCAAAGCCAGGAGCACCCAGGAGAGTACCAGCCTCCAACTTACTGAAGGACTGAGATTCAAACGCATGAATCCAACAGGGGAGTTTTCTTTTTTTTTTAAATAAAGATGTGTGCCAATGGTTTCATTTACAGACTGATCTCTGCACTCCCATTTTTCTTCCTGCAGAACGTGTTTGCATATTTGTGGGGGCACTGATTTTTTTTTGGTTTTCTTTCATGGTCGTAAGTCGTTTGGTGGATGTTTGCTGTGTTGTTCAGAGTGCCATGCACAGCAGGTGAAGTATCTTTTTTTTTTTTTTTAGTTAGGAGATTGTGTTGGTAAGAGAGAGTATGGCCGCGCCATTGTTGTCTTTGTACCAAATCAACTGTAGTTATTTCAGAGCCCCCTTTTTTTTGTTTCACTTTTAAGTGCAATTTGTGTTTATTAAGATGAACAATTGAATTTTTTTTGGATGAATATGTTACTGTTTAGTACATATAAATAAGTTTTCATTACTCTCAGATTCATATACAGCAGCTCAACAACCGTAATGTAGTGAAACACTTCAGTACATATTCAACAACAAAACAAACCCATAATATTTAATCATTGGGTGCATCGAACATGTTCCCTAACTACTGTAATGTTTTTGTGTTTTTTTTTTTTTAAATAATCAACCACTGAAAAATGGCGCATATGCACTGACAAACACAGTCCATTACTTTGGGTCATGTAATTGCCAATATCCGATCTAAGATTGTTAATTTTAATGTTTCATTTAATATTTAAGGGTGTTTTGTTTTAAGGGTAGCCAAACATTCACTTATATCTGCTTCCTCTGTAGATGTTTAACGTGCCTTACTTGAGTGCAGTTTTTTAAAACATCCCATTCAGCAACTGTTTCAGCCATAATTAGATTTCAGGAATTCATTGATTGGGGTAAATTGATATATTTATTATCTTAATCCTTTCAGTCCAGGGATATGACAATCAAATAGTAATTGTTTTCTACATTGCTTTTTTTTTTTCCTCTTGCTTTTCTCACACTGTAGTTATACCTTTACATGAGTTGCAGTTTCACTGTTGTACTCAGTGGCTTTACAATGATTCCTCATTAAAGTGCCTTGTACAGTATTCTGTATCACACAGGGTTTGCCAAATAAAAACTGTTCTTGTTTTCAACATCTGGGTGAGCCCACAGTGTGTATCATCTTCTAGAGAACGAGCCGGACTCTGCCGGGCTGTGCTCCTTTGGCAAATATTTGAGTAGTGAAGGTGTGGGAGCTGTGGGGAGAGCATCGTAATGACTTTGAGACAATAGAATATACAGTATGCAAACTTTACAGAAGAACTGGACAAAGATTATATTATATAACTACACCATGTCTAGATTATAACTGATTTACCTTTTACCAAAAGATTTATTGAGGTCTGGAAAACCACATTTCCCATATAATGTATTAAAAACTGGAGAGATAAGTTTCACCATTTGCAGATGCAGAAGCTCTGCAAAATGTATGTAAGGCCTACAATTCTCTGATTCTTCCCATACAAATTTATTTTATAAAAAGAAACCATTAACAATAACCCACAGTTTTGCCTCTCTTGGCTTAATTTCTCCAATAGTTATCAATCATTGTGATAATTGATCAAGGAGTAACTTTTATTCAAACAAAAAAAAAAGTACATACATGTTCCTTATTTTGCTTTTACATCTAGAACAGTGTGGGGAATTATCTTTCCAGATGTTTAAAGTCAGCCTCATGCTAAATGTCTTATCTGTGTCGCCCATAGACTCACATAAGAGTAACTGATTCTAGGTCTCTGATCTTACCAAATACATCTTTTTAAAACTTTGTCACAATAAAAAGATAATACGTTTTTAAAGCGGCAGTAGGTCATTTTTATAAAAATATTTTTGTCATATTTGCTGAAACTTTCACTATATCCTGACTACGGTGGCCCTGAGGTGCAAAACACAACAACAAATCAGAAAACACAACACAAAAAAAGAAAACACAACGACATTAACCAAACCGGAAAAGGTAGGTA